ACACACACACACACACACACACACACACACACACACACACACACACACACACACACACACCTTTTAAATTATACACGGTATTTGGCATTTATGAGATCTCTTTCACCATGTTTGTTTACCATTTTACTCAATGCCGATTCTCTTTTGATCAGAGTCCAGCTTTAAACACATTTGGAATTGACTAGATTTTTTAAAAATAAAGGTTCTATATGAGAATATATTAAAAATCAGTCATTTGAAAATTTTACATAAATAAATTCAAAATTAAAGACTCTTCCTTGGAAAATATGCCACAGTACACATGTTAGAAAATGAAATATTTACATAGTACAAAAACACTTTCCTTCATTTTAATAAGAATGATAAAGGAATTAATTTGAGTATAGAAAATCAAGAAAAGGTCACCAGGCTAAACTGCTGGAGCTCACTGAAACTCAGAGGAGCAGTGAGCCCCTGCATTTCAGCAGTTACTAGCATACTGTAACTCAATCATTAGTCATCCAGGATCTGAGTTCTACTTCAGAAGGTTCTTGTGTTTGGCTTCCTGTACTAGATTAAGTAATTATTTTGCATTCTATGAGCCTAGAACTCAACCCTGCAATTCTAATGAGAGCATAATGTTGTCCATTACTAATTTGTGACTGATAGCATAAGAGGTTAGAGAATTAACACAGTCTTCCTCCATGTTCCCTAGAACATAAGAACGGCCGTGCTGGGTCAGACCAAAGGTCCATCTAGCCCAGTATCCTGTCTGCCAACAGTGGCCAATGCCAGGTGCCCCAGAGGGAGTGAACCTAACAGGTAATGATCAAGTCATCTCTCTCCTGCTATCCATCTCCACCCTCTGACAAACAGAGGCTAGGGACACCATTCCTTACCCATCCTAGCTAATAGCCATTAATGGACTTAATCTCCATGAATTTATCCCGTTCTCTTTTAAACCCTGTTATAGTCCTAGCCTTCACAACCTCCTCAGGCAAGGAATTTCAAAAGTTGACTATGCGCTGTGTGAAGAACTTCCTTTTATTTGTTATAAACCTGCTGCCCATTAATTTCATTTGGTGGCCCCTAGTTCTTGTATTATGGGAATAAGTAAATCTACTTACTCCACATCACTCATGATCTTATATACCTCTATCATATCCCCTCCCTTAGTCTCCTCTTTTCCAAGCTGAAAAGTCCTAGCCTCTTCAATCTCTCCTCATATGGGACCCGTTCCAAACCCCTAATCATTTTAGTTGGCCTTCTCTGAACCTTTTCTAATGCCAGTATATCTTTTTTGAGATGAGGAGACCACATCTGTACGCAATATTCAAGATGTGGGTGTACCATCAATTTATATAAGGGCAATAATATATTCTCCTTCTTATTCTCTATCCCCTTTTTAATGATTCCTAACATCCTGTTTGCTTTTTTGACTGCCGCTGCACACTGTGTGGACGTCTTCAGAGAACTATTCATGATGACGCCAAGATCTTTTTCCTGATTCGCTGTAGCTAAATTAGCCCCATCATATTGTATGTATAGTTGGGGTTATTTTTTCCAATGTGCATTACTTTACATTTATCCACATTAAATTTAATTTGCCATTTTGTTGCCCAATCACTTAGTTTTGTGAGATCTTTTTGAAGTTCTTCACAGTCTGCTTTGGTCTTAACTATCTTGAGCAGCTTAGTATCATCTGCAAACTTTGCCACCTGACTTTTTACCCCTTTCTCCAGATCATTTATGAATATGTTCAATAGGATTGGTCCTAGGACTGACCCTTGGGGAACACCACTAGTTACCCTTCTCCATTCTGAGAATTTACCATTTATTTCTACCCTTTGTTCCCTGTCTTTTAACCAGTTCTCAATCCATGAAAGGACCTTCCCTTTTATCCCATGACAACTTAATTTACGTAAGAGCCTTTAGTGAGGGACCTTGTCAAAGACTTTCTGGAAATCTAAGTATACTATGTCCACTGGATCCCCCTTGTCCACATGTTTGTGGACCCCTTCAAAGAACGCTAATAGATTAGTAAGACACGATTTCCCGTTACAGAAACCATGTTGACTTTTGCCCAACAATTTATGTTCTTCTATGTGTCTGACAATTTTATTCTTTACTATTGTTTCAACTAATTTGACCGGTACTGACGTTAGACTTACTGGTCTGTAATTGCTGGGATCACCTCTAGAGCCCTTTTTAAATATTGGCGTTACATTAGCTATCTTCCAGTCATTGGGTACAGAAGCCGATTTAAAGGACAGGTTACAAACCATAGTTAATAGTTCCGCAACTTCACATTTGAGTTCTTTCAGAACTCTTGGGTGAATGCCATCTGGTCCCGGTGACTTGTTAATGTTAAGTTTATCAATTAATTCCAAAACCTCCTCTAGAGACACTTCAATCTGTGACAGTTCCTCAGATTTGCCACCTACAAAAGCCTGCTCAGGTTTGGGAATCTCCCTAACATCCTCAGCCGTGAAGACTGAAGCAAAGAATCCATTTAGTTTCTCCGACAAGACTTTACTGTCTTTAAGCGCTCCTTTTGTATCTCGATCATCCAGGGGCCCCACTGGTTGTTTAGCAGGTTTCCTGCTTCTGATGTACTTAAAAAACATTTTGTTATTACCTTTTGAGTTTTTGACTAGCGATTCTTCAAACTCCTCTTTGGCTTTTCTTATTACATTTTTACACTTAATTTGGCAGAGTTCATGCTCCTTTCTATTTACCTCACTAGCACATTGTCAGGACATAGTGGGACCATTCTCCAGAGGGCACAATTCTCCTCCTGATCCTACTGCCATATATCCACCGTGATCTTTAAACTCTAGATGGTGTTTCTCTTATAAACCATAAAATGAAATATGCATTGGCTATTATCCTACAAACCAGCAAGCCGTTTTTTTCATAAATCATAGTTGTGCATGTGCTTTTCCCTACTGTGTATGTCTGAAGACAGATAATTAAATTGACAGGAATACTGCTCTCTGAAAAGAGGATACTTATTGAATTCAACATCTGAACTTCATAGAAACAGATAATCAGATTTAAAATTTGGAGTTATAAACAAGAAAATAAAGAACAAAATTACCTGACAATGCATTTCCAAGAAGACCCATCCTGGTCATCCTGTTCTTCTACGTACATTCTCACATTATGTTCTTGATCCAGCTGGTACCAATACATTAGACCATCCTTGTCTCGACCAATTGGCTGGAGACGCATAGCATCAGCATCCTCTTCATTAATGATATTCTTAAATTTTAGATTGTCGTCAAACTGACACTCACAGAGGTACTGAAAAAAATTGCAATGTAGAAAGATTTTTTTTAAAACAGCAAGATACGACCAAAAAAACCTTATTTGTGTGTTTTGGGTTCTCTTTTTAAACCTGCCTTTATTGGCTTTGTGACTTAACTAGAGAGAGGAGGATCCAATGTATAGGCCTCTCCAGATTATACTCTTTTGGTAAATCAAAGATTAGTTTTTAATTTCTTGTTAGTGGCCATTTAGAATGGTGTTAAATCTGTTCAAGAGTAAACTTTAAACAGAGGAGAATGAAGGCATCTTTACTGTACAGTAAAACCTCAGAGTTACGAACACCTCGGGAATGGAGGTTGTTCGTAACTCTGAACAAAATGTATGGTTCTTCTTTCAAAAGTTTACAACTGAACATTGTCTTAATACAGCTTTGAAACTTTACTATGCAGAAGAAAAATGCTGCTTTCCAGGTTTGTTTGTTTTTTTTGTAGTTTACATTTAACACAGTACTGTACTGTGTTTTCTTTCTTTCTTTTTTGTCTCTGCTGCTGTCGGATTGTGTACTTCCAATTCCAAATGAGGTGTGTGGTTAACTGGTCGGTTCGTAACTCTGCTGTTCGCACGGCTGAGGTTCTACTGTAGTAAACGCTCCAACAGCTACTACAACAGGATGAAAGCAAGCCACCACCAAAGCATACATGCACAGCGTGGTGTTTCTATTTCCTCTTTTAAAAGTAGCCATTGAAACTCTAACCTCTGTATTTTATATGCATCTGAAAGCAATGTACATGGGAAGCTTCCTTTTGTGAATGGCCTAGCTAAACAGTGGATATTATTTATTTAGTATATTAGTCTACAGTAAAACTCCATGTAATTTAAGCCATCATACATGAGGCTCATTACTCCTGCCTCATCTCATGAGCTGAAAAGTTGAAGATGAACCCCATCTCTCACCTTTGCACTTAAGATAAAATTGTTTCATTACTAGCTCATGCACATAACAAAAAAGAATACTGCATGCTGGGATGGTCTAGACAGTATTTGGGTCCTGCCATGTGGGCAGGGGACTGGACTCGATGACCTCTCGAGGTCCCTTCCAGTCCTAGAATCTATGAATCTATGCGTAAACACCCTCCAAGGGCAGAACAGTAACTACAAATATATTTCAGTGCGAACAAGTAAAGTATGAAAACAAATAGAAAACACCATATTTAATTGAGGCTTATCCCCATTAACAAGACCATCAGCAACTATGATTGGTGATATTTGTTTGTTACGAGCTCTGACATCAGCTCCAAATTTAATACATTTAATTATTGCAATTTATAAGTTTTCAAAGGGTCATTTTCAAAAAAAGTAAATACATTACCTTCAGAATTCCCAATTTGCATTCAACACTCGTTTCCAGGTATCCTTTCTTCTCCATCTCCCATGCCCAAGTACTGTTGAACTCTTGGCATATCTGTCAGATAAACAAAATATTAAATTAACTAGTATTAGTGGATGAATGTAACTTGAAACCTCTACAGAGGAAGAGTATTTTGTTGCAATACCAACGTTTACTTTTATCTACGAACAGTGCAACTTCTGTAAGCAAAAAAGCCATAGACAAAAATCAGAGATAAAGCCAGGTGAAGGTGGGCAAGCACTGGGCATGTCACCACTAAGTCCTGAAAGAGCATATCATCAGGATCTTGCCTATCGCCTCCATTTTCCTAGCTCTGAGCAACTCTTAAGAGACAGCACGATCTACAGCTAGGGCACCAGACTGGGAGTCAGGAGACCCAAGTTCTATTAGGAATAGAACTAACTCTGTCATTGACTTGCTATGTGACCTTGGGCAAGTTACTTCACCTCTGTGCATCCATTTCTTTTCCCATCTCCCTTTGTCTGTCATGTCTATTTAGACTACAAGTACTATGGAGCAGAGACTGCTTCTTACATGTCTGTACAGCACTTAACAGGGTATGTCTACACTGTGTTTTAAAACCCGTGGCAGCAAGTCTCAGAGCCTGGGTCTACAGACTCAGGCTTGTGGGGCTCATGCTACATGGCCAAAAACAGCAGTGTAAACATTGTGGCTTGGACTGGAGCTTGGGTTCTGAAGCAATGTCTTTAGCCTTGTAGCATGAGCCCAAGTCTGCAGACCCAGGCTCTGAGATTTGCTGCAGTGGGTTTTATAATGCAATGTAGACGTACCCACAATGGGAATCACACTCTCAGTTGCGGCCTCTAGGTAATGCTACTGCAATACAAATAGTATGTGAGACTACCATTCATTCCATGTTGTAAAACGATGTAATTATGTATAAAAAGCTGAGGTCCTTGGAGCACATACCTCAAACCATTTAAAATGTGTTTGAAAAGATAATAATAAAAGACCACCTTTAAAAATATAAACAACTAACACCTACTAAATGGGCCACAGAAAGTGGGTGGTGGTGGAGAATGAATGAATATATGGGATCAACAGTGGGGGAAAAAAGGGTTGGGATAAGAAGTTTTAGATTATTTATTTATTTTTAAAGTGAGAGGGTCAAAATAATGGTCATGAGGGAGCAAATTTCACATCCTAGGACCCATAATAGCAAAGGCACTAGTGGCTGCTTACATATTTAAGACACAATAGTGGGATCCCTAGTTGGTGTGGGGTATCTAAGTACAAGTGTCCACTAGAACAAGGCTCAAGGTAGTCTGAAATATACCCAGAGACTACAATGTTGAAGACTGTTTGTTTGTTTGTTTTTAAAGTGGCACTGTTGTACCATGGATGCTTAAATCAGTGGCCCAAAGTGCTGCTGCATCCTAAGCAAATTGCAAGCAACAGAAGTCCTCTTGAAAGCATTAAGGGTTTTATCAATCTTCCTGATCAAGATGTTATTGTTAAATAGCAGGGGTACCCAGGGCAAAGTAAGCCTCTAAACCACATCCAGCATGTAGCTTTCAATAGAGCAGCATGGCTGAAAGTGAGGCCAAACTTCACTCGCTAACGCTGAATGAGTTGCTTCAGAAAGTGGTAACAAAAGAAGAGTACCATCTCATAAAAATGACTTCTGCTCAGCAGCAAGTTTTCCCGTTTTGACGACAAGCTATGTTGTCCATTCTTCCAATGCACAGGCCAAAACTTAGAACAACAGATACAACTGTTTACTACCAACAAACTGATGACATTCTACTTTATCTCTTGTATTAAACATTCTAAACATGGAGATCACTGGGGGATGCTGCATATCAAAAACATTGGAGAAGACACATAAAACATCAATGACCAACTCCTGTGTTCTATGTATCACTCAAACCAATGGAGGGAAGTTTCAGAAACACTGGAAATGTCTTTTAATTAGCAACAACTCAGTGGCATCTGAACTGTTGAAACCAATTGTCATGACCACAATGACCAAGTTTCCATAAACTAAAACCAGCAGATTATTCTTAATCCTGATAAATGCAGTCTCAACTCCAAAGAAAGCTAGAACCCAGTCTGAAGCATACCACAGAGGTCATGAGTTTAAGCACATCTGGAATGCTAGAACCATTGCCTTTTCAAAAGGGGAAGTTTGAAACTGGCAAGCACTTCAGCAACAGGAGTTGGTTTGAGGAAGCAGCTGATTTCTGCACGTGAAAGTATGACCATAACCTACCAATCTGTAAAACGGGTGCTGATCTGTCTCTCTCCAAAATACTTCTTAAGGCACTTACACTGGCATCTAAGTGCTATTTACTGGCACCATGGTCAAATTGCTTGCTTTAAGCAACAAACATAGGCAGGAATCATAGAATCATAGAATATCAGGGTTGGAAGGGACCTCAAGAGGTCATCTAGTCCAACCCTCTTCTCAAAGCAGGACCAATTCCCAACTAAATCATCCCAGCCAGTGCTTTGTCAAGCTGGGCCTTAAAAACCTCCAAGGAAGGAGACTCCACCACCTCCCTAGGTAACACATTCCAGTGTTTCACCACCCTCCTAGTGAAATAGTTTTTCCTAATATCCAACCTGGACCTCCCCCACTGCAACTTGAGACCATTGCTCCTTGTTCCGTCATCTGCCACCACTGAGAACAGCCGAGCTCTATCCTCTTTGGAACCCCCCTTCAGGTAGTTGAAGGCTGCTATCAAATCCCCCCTCATTCTTCTCTTCTGGAGACTAAACAGTCCCAGTTCCCTCAGCCTCTCCTCATAAGTCATGTGCTCCAGACCCCTAATCATTTTTGTTGCCCTCCGTTGGACTCTTTCCTAATTTTTCCACATCCTTCTTGTAGTGTGGGCCCAAAACTGGACACAGTATTCCAGA